TTTCTTTCTTTCTTTCTTTCTTTCTTTCTTTCTTTCTTTCTTTCTTTCTTTCTTTTTTTAAAAAAGAATTATTTATTTTATGTATATGAATATACTGTGGCTGTCTTCAGACATACCAGAAGAGGGTTACAGATGGTTGTGAGCCACCATGTGGTTGCTGGGAATCAAGCTCAGGACTTCTGGAAGAGCAGTCAGTGCTCCCTCCAGCCCCCTGTCTAATTCCTTATAATATTACTCTATCCCCCTTTTTTCTTTTCAGTCCCCTTCCCTTTACCTAAGAAGGAAAGGATAGAGAAGAGGAAAGATAGAATTCCCTGAGTATAAGCTCTCTGGTTTCTTCCTTGTCCAAAGCTACATTTGCAAATTATCCCTTAAAATGACAACATATCTATAATTCATAAAATAACCCAAACCAAACACCCTAACTTAAGGAAATGGGGCGATGATTTTCTATGACTACTTCCTGTTGAATTAGGATGAAGAATTCCTTTTTTAATTTTTTTAAATTTTTAAATAGAGGTAGAAACCCTGTGCAGGATTGTTTAATATTTATTACAACATACTGCACCCAATGTGGGGCACCATCTTTCTAAGTAGTGGATTAGGCTATTCTTGTTGCTATGGTCCATACATGCCAGGCCTTTGTCCACCATACAGCTGAATGTCTATACCTGGATATAATCTTCATGATAAAACAGTCCCTTCCCAAAGTGACAACAACTTGGGCCCACTGATTTCAATGAGTTCAATGTCCTTTTTTTTTTCCCCCTAGTTTTGGAGGTAAGAAGCTGATGTTATAGTATAGACCAAATCACAGCTCCCCAAAATGTATATGTTGAAGCCTCAACCTCCTCCCCCAAAAAACTATATTTGGAGACAGGGACCCTGGTGAGGTAATTAGCTTTAAATAAGGTTATAAAACCTAATACTATTAGTGTTCCTGTTATAAGAGACAACAGAGAGATATCTCTGTCATGTGGAGATCAAGAGGCCAATGCTCTGAAAGCCAAGAAATTTCCTCATCAGGCCAGGTGGGGACTACCATCCTGGAGCCAAAGTCTGGAACTCAGAAGAAGTAACTTTACATTAAACTACCCTGTCTATGCCACTCTGTTTATGGCAGCCTGGACACACTAACACACTTCACTATGAATGTGTGACTCGGTGGAGTCATGGCTCCTTGGCCCTAAATGTAGCAGAGGCAGGCTTTACCTATGTATGCCCCGTCCTTGCTCCACAGACGCACGGTGCAGTCAAGGGAGGATGTCAGTAAGATGCTATTACCCTCCATCAGCTCCAGACTAGCAAGATAAAAGGGGAAGGAGATTTGTCATAGCTGCTCTGCAAGAAAGGGGCATTGGATCCAAATTAAAGAGAGAAGCCAGAGTCATTCCTAAACATCATTCTTTCCTTCACCTCCCTCTCACTCTCTAAGTGCTCTTCCCAGAATCCCAGGTCCACTCTCAAGGCATCAAGTGGGATGGATGGGAAACGACGTTACAGGTGATCAGTCTGGGTGGTAGAGCAAGCGGTCAGAAAAAGTGAACTAGTGAAAATCCACTCCCCTCGGCACTCACGTCTTTCAAGCCTCATATGGATCCAGACCAACTGAGCTCATAAATGTGCAGAAGAATGCCAGGTCAGTGTGTTTGTAATTGTTATTAATAACTCCATTAGCTCTTATTATGACCTGGCCAGCCCCTGTACCCCTCAATAATCAAGGCAGAGTTCTATCACTGTATTTAATTAACTTTAGCACAATTACTGGATGATTACCCCTGAACTATGTTTCTATGCTAGACTGGGTATTTCTCAGCTGTGCTCCCCAAGTCACTTGCTGTTTGAGTCTCACCGGGCCGTGCCTGTCCTAGGGGCATTTCTCTTGGCTACACTCCTGCTCCATCCCATCTAAAGAGACATCTAAAGATGGTCTCTCCATCTGCTTCTCCTCCCGTCTCAGTCTCCTAGCCCAGCCGCATGGCTCCTATCTGTGACAACCCCACTCCCCACCTCCCTGCCACTGCTCCCGCCCAGTAATCAGAGTTCTGCCTACCTCTGTTCTCCTCAGTAATTGGCTATAGGTCATATCTAGTTAAGAGAAGAAGATGAGCAAAGTTTACAGAGTCATTAGGTGTAGTTGAGAATCTGCTGTAGGATCTGGTTGCAACCAGATCCTGGGGACCACATCCCTTGTGTTTCCTCAGGAGCTGGATGGAAAGGCCGTTCTCCTCCTTCAGCTCTCTCACAGCAATTTTGAAAGGACTGATGTGACCAAGACTCAAACAGTTGTTTTTCTTCTTTTATAGATTACTGAAATTTTCAAAAGGATGGTACTCACGAGGTCACCACGCTGACATGTGCTCTCCAGGATGTCACGGCTAAGTGAAAAGAGAGAAAGGAGTCCAGTAGGGATGTGTGCCCAGCTGGAAGTGGCACTGATGTGGTGGTCTTTCTGCTTTAGCTTTCCCTAAGTGAGCACCAAGCACCTACTATGTGCAAGACCATCCCTTACCCCATGCCAGCTCAGAAAGCGTATGAAATAGGACCAGGGGAACAAGCTTACAAGATGACTTTCCTCAGTGATTTCTACCTTGTGTGTCTATGTACATGGTGTGCTGGCATGTTTGCGAGACCGTGGGCACAGGTATGCAGATGTAAAGAGCAGAGGTTGATGGTGGGTGTCTCTTCCATTGCTCTTCATTTACTGAGGCAGGGATAACTGCTAAACATGGCATTCACTGATGAGTCTAATCTAGCTAGCCAGCTTGCCCTGGGAAGTCCTCAGTCTCTGACTCCTGAGTGTTGAGATTACAGGTGAGCCATCATGGCCACCAATCTTCTGTTAGGAGATAGGGGGCATGTGTGTGTGTGTGTGTGTGTGTGTGTGTGTGTGTGTGTGTGTGTTGCTCCCGGTTCTCTCTCTCTCTCTCTCTCTCTCTCTCTCTCTATCTCTATCTCTATATCTCTATCTATCTATCTGACAAATAACCTGTTGTACAATCTTGCAAGTACAACTCTGTGCACCTTTGACACTTCCTTTGCTAAATCTCTATAGGCAGAACTGCCATTTGTAGCATTCGACACAGGTTGTCAATGTGCCCCTTATTTGACAGCGAGCAATCACCCCGTTTGGTGCTAACAGATGCCTTTCCTTCATCTTTGCTGACACCAAATGTTTTTCGGGAAACTATGTTTCTGTGATTCTACTTTCCAAGAGCTTTAAGAGTAATCCCTTGCACTGGGACAATTTAATTGCCCTACAAGAACATCTCACAGGAGCCAAAGCAATCTTATTTAGGGTTTAACACGAAGAAATTCACTGCGTACTGTTGGGAGCCTGCAGCTCGGCTCCCCGGAGGCCATACTCCCAGATGTCATAGACATATATAAAGCCGTGCTGGTCAGCCAGGTAGGCGAGAGTGTCTCCTGATGTCACCACGATGCTGCTCACTTGGGCTTTTTCTCTGGACTGAGATATATCAAAGGCAAAGATAATAAAAAGGTAACTCTGGTGGTGGCGCATGCCTTCAGTCTTGGCACTTGAGAAGCAGAAGCAGATGGAGCTCTGTGAGTTCAAGGCCAACCTGGTCTACAGAACGAGTTCCAGGACACCCAGGGCTATAAAAAGAAACCCTGTCTCAAAACAAACAAACAAACAAACAAAACCACTGACTCAACCTAAGCCACTTAGAAATGTCAGGAAGATATCAAAGCAAAGGATCAGAACCTGACAGACAATCCTGATGCTAAGCTAGTGTCAGGGAGCAAACCACAACAACAACCACAACAACAACA